GTCTAAAAGGGAATAGCTATCCCTACATTAACCCTCACTGTCTAAAAGGGAATAGCTATCCCTACATTAACCCTCACTGTCTAAAAGGGAATAGCTATCCCTACATTAACCCTCACTGTCTAAAAGGGAATAGCTATCCCTACATTAACCCTCACTGTCTAAAAGGGAATAGCTATCCCTATATTAACCCTCACTGTCTAAAAGGGAATAGCTATCCCTACATTAACCATCACAGTCTAAAAGGGAATAACTATCCCTTCATTAACCCTCACTGTCTAAAATGGAATACTCTATCGTTATACAACCCTCAAATGATATGAGACTTGATGCGGAAAGTATATACGTTTGTCGGGTAGATTTTCTTCTTCTCTTAATATGTGTGTCGGGTTGATTTGTTACTTCTTGACTTAGGTTTCCTAGTTTCCAAGCAAAAGAGGGAACACATCTTTAATTGCGTCAACACTATTGTTATCTTTATAGAACATTTGTTTGCCTCTTTGAAATGTTATTTTGGCTAAAACTTTAATACATGTAGGTTTTTTACCCCGATAACCATATTTATTTGTTTTGTCAGAAACTTGTATACCATTATAATATCGATTATGCTATAATGTATTCTCTAAAAGGAACATAACTCACGCAGTGCAAGTAAAAACTATTCGAGGTGATGACGATGGCAGCTTTGATGACATAGTATAAATAAAATGGCAGAGGGGCAAAACAAAACATAACAAAGCAAACAGCATTTGAAGTGTTTTTATTGTAAAGGGCGATTGTAGGTGAAACAACATGAGCACAGCGAAAACAATCGATACATCTACATGGACGGTGTTGATAGAGATACAGATACACATCAAATGTTGAAGGTAATATTAATTTTACAAATTTTGCATTACATTCGTTCCGTTTGATTATGGTATTTTTGAAATTCAATATCTTTTATAACCGGAAATCTGAGGCGAAATATACTATTAAACGTATGCAATATAGATTAAAGGCATAACACATAAATGCACTTATGTATAAATAAAAATGTGTAGAATCTATTAAGATATATGAAAAATGATATAGCATTAGGCTATGACAAGATGCGAAAGAGACTTTTGTTAACAAACTTCCGAATATTTAGAAAGCGAACATTTCTGTGTAGGATCAAATGTATATGATCACTTGGTTGGCTGTTTGACTTTAGTTCCGATAGCCTGGGAAGCAACCTGCAGTTTCGGTGGTTTTTTCCACAGTTCCACATCAATATCGTCTAGATCTTCACACTTACTCCGTTCACTAAAATGGATAAGAATAGTTTAGAGCATTTAAAACCATGGTTATGACACTGGTACAGGAAGAACCGTCTACTACAACCCTGAACCAACTATATAGTTCCAAATCCAGACAGCTACAACCCTAAGCAGACTATATTGTTCCCAAACCCGACAGCTACAAAACCTAGGCCGACACTATAGTTCTTACACCCGACATCTACAACCTTAGTCCAACATTTTAGTTCCCAAAACCCACAGCTACAACCCAAGACCGATTCTCAACCATAAATCGACACTATAGTTCAGAAACCCGAAACCCGAAACCTACAACCCTAAACCTACAAACAATTCTGAACCCCGACAGCTACAATCCTAAACTGACACTACAGTTCCCGAACCCGACATCTACAACCCTAAACCGATTATTTTGTCCCAAAACAAGACATCTTCCACCCCAAACCGACTCTATAGTTCCCAAACCCAACAGCTACAACCCTAAACTGAAACTACAGTTCCCAAACCAGACAGCTTTAATCTTAATCCGATTATTTAGTCCCAAAACCCAACAGCTTCAACACTAAATCGACACTACAGTTCCCAAACCCAACAGCTACAACCCTTAACTGAAACTAAAGTTTTCAAACCCAACAGCTTCAACGCCAAACCGACACTACAGTTCCCAAACCCAACAGCTACCATCCTTTACTGTAACTACAGTTCCCAAACCAAACATCTACAACCCTTAACTGAAACTACAGTTCCCAAACCCAACAGCTACAACCCTTAACACAAACTACAGTTCCCAAACCCAACAGCTATAACCCTAAACCGACACTGTAGTTTCCAAAACCAAAAAGGCCACAATTATAATTCAGCTGACACGCTGGTTTTCAAACCCGGAAACTAAAGAATGATTTGAACATTGGGTCAAGTAAAAAGCATAACGTGTTTAGTTGGTTGATATGTAGCGTTTAATTGAAATCGTGAACAGCGTTACCAATTGTCTGAGGTTTGTGACTTGTGCTTTATTTCAATTACTACAACTTGTACAATGTACTTACTCAGTTAGAATGAAGGCATTTGTCTGAATCTCATCAAGATCGAAGACCTCGCAAAGAATCTTTGAGAGTTCCACCTTTTCCACATTATCAATTTGATCTGAAAAAATGAAGTTGTCTACTTAAACACACACGAACAACAATGTTTAAACCAAGAACAATACAAACTGGTCCTTTATCGGTCACCGGAAAACTTGAGCAATCATGTGAAAGCATTCTGATTCTAACTCTAGTTTAAAGCAATATTGCATATATTTACCCATTTTAGGCTCCCTCTCGTCACCCAGGGGGATAACACCTTTCCTTTTATCATATTTAATTTCCATGTCCAAACGATGCTTATTAGCAAATAAGGTTAAACAATAATCAACTGGTCAGAAAAGTAGTATTTCAAATACGTTAACGCCCAAATTACCCATCTTTTTGGCCTTATCCCCATACCCCCGGGAACAACATATCGTACTAATAAATCTACACATTTCATTATAATGAAAACATCACTTTATACTAACAATTCCTAATAATTCAGAGAGGTTCGTAGTCATAATTCTCCCTACATCCTAACAGTGGAGTTATTCACTTTTATCGTACCATAAAAATACCCTTTACTTGTGAGGATGCTACTTAATCTTTCTTATTGTTTCCTATATAATACTGTTGCAGTGGAGATAACAATTTTACATATTTCAGTGAGTATATAACTTATAACATACTAATTACTTCTTTATTGATACAGTGGCGATATTGCGTTCGTTACAATATTAAGTTCATATATTTTACTGGTAAAAGTGTAATAAAACAGACAAAATATTTACCATCACTGAGATCGTGCTGGTACCAGAAGCGATCCCCGTATCGGAGTCTGTGGAACTGTTCGGCCAGCAAGCAGGCAAATGTTGGTCCTACCTCGCCGTCCAATAAGTTATCCTCAGACGCACCGCCCACAAACAAGTCAATGTCCTCTACATGACTACAACATTAGATAGAAACCACTGCAGCTCGAGACAGGTGTGTGTCAGTGAGAAAGACAGAAAGAAATAAGCCTACAAACCCGATAAACACGATATCACAGAAACAACTAGAATCAGATATAACACAAACTCTGCATTCTTATTACTGTTAGTACTAAACCATGACAACTGATCGGAATGAAGTGGGATTGACAAAAGCCAGATCACATTGTCTCCTACCACGACACTATAAATGGTTAATGGTCTCATCACGTGACCAGTTACGTCTACTATCATGTGACATTTTAAATATAATGCGAAGAAAACGCTTTGACATAACAAGTAAAAACCCTTACATCTACATTGTAGGAAGTATGAATAGAGCTGCAGGTATCGGCTAAACAACAATGACCGTTGGCATATTGGGATTAGTGTTTTGGGAGTTAATAACGGATTTATATGATGGGACAGCGTGTGATAGTAGTAACAACATACCTGTACGCGGTGGACAGGATTGTCTGAAACGAACTATTATGGAAGGGTAGGTCGGAGAAGGAGGTTGGTTTCGGATGGCCACAAAATTCTAGGTATTGTACGTAGCCAGGTAAACCGTGATCACGGCCTCGCTGGATGTTTAGAGCACCAAGATCAAATCCAAAAGGATGGTTGTTCTTAAACAAGAGGTGGTCTATGGCTGGAACGAAATGCCTGAAAGAAACAGCAATATGAATCAGAAATGTTTCTCTTTTCTCCACGTATAATATTCTAAACTCCATATGACACAGAAATGATTAACAAACAAGACAGATGGTAACATCGGACCGTCATACCGGTCAAACACCCAACCGTCATAACGGTCAAACATCAACATCGAACCGTCATTACGGTCAAACATCAACACCGAACCATCATAACGGTGAAACCGTCAGATCATTCTTACAGTGACACCGAACAGTCTTATCGTTCTTACATCAACATTTAACTGTCATATCGTTCTAACAATGACACGGAACTGTTTTACCGGTCCATTAGTGACACAGAACTGTCATAACGGTCCTACAGTGACACAGAACTGTCATACCGGTCCTACAGTGAAACAGAACTGTCATACCGGTCCAACAGTGACACAGAACTGTTAAACCGGTCCTACAGTGACACAGAACTGTCATAACGGTCCTACAGTGACCCAGAACTGTCATACCGGTCCAACAGTGACACAGAACTGTTAAACCGGTCCTACAGTGACACAGAACTGTCATACTGGTCCTACAGAGACACAGAACTGTCATACCGGTCCAACAGTGACACAGAACTGTCATACTGTTCCTACAGTGACACAGAACTGTCACACCGGTCCTACAGTGACACAGCACTGTCATACCGGTCCAACAGTGACACAGAACTGTCATACCGGTCCTACAGTGACACCGAACTACCGGTCCAACAGTGACACAGACCTGTCACACTGGTCCTACAGTGACACAGAACGGTCATAATGGTCCAACAGTGACACAGAACTGTCATACCGGTCCTACAGTGACACAGAACTACCGGTCCAACAGTGACACAGACCTGTCACACTGGACCTACAGTGACACAGAACGGTCATAACGGTCCAACAGTGACACAGAACTGTCATACTGGTCCTACAGTGACACAGAACTGTCATACCGGTCCAACAGTGACACAGAACTGTTAAACCGGTCCTACAGTGACACAGAACTGTCATACCGGTCCTACAGTGACTCAGAACTGTCACACCGGTCCTACAGTGACACAGAACTGTCACACCGGTCCTACAGTGGCACAGAACTGTCATACCGGTCCTACAGTGACACAGAACTACCGGTCCAACAGTGACACAGACCTGTCACACTGGTCCTACAGTGACACAGAACTGTCATACCGTTCCTACAGTGACACAGAACTGTCACACCGGTCCTACAGTGACACAGAACTGCCATACTGGTCCTACATTGACACAGAACTGTCATACTGGTCCTACAGTGACACAGAACTGCCATAACGGTCCAACAGTGACACAGAACTGTCACACCGGTCCAACAGTGACACAGACTTGTCACACTGGTCCTACAATGACACAGAACTGTCATACTGGTCCTACAGTGACACAGAACTGTCATACCGGTCCTACAGTGACACAGACCTGTCATACCGGTCCTACAGTGACACAGAACTGTCATACAGGCCAAACTGTATATTGTAGGTGATATACGATAGTCGAGCAGTATAGTGTTCTATGCATCATATCATAACCTATTACTTACTTTAATGTTGTATTATATCATAACCGCTCAATATCTCACTCATAATATACATCTCCACTCTAGAATGTCAAAGCATATAAAATATATGGAGTACTCACGCATCCGGCAATTTACTTGGCCGGGTGACCATCCCTCTACTGATACTCGAGATGTCATAAAATACCGGGTTGGTAACGAAGAACACATCATCTAGGTCGTGTGAAGCAAAGATGGTGTTGTTTTCATCAACATGATCGACGGTGTCTCGGATGAGTGTATGTCCGTACCGTAGTGCCGCCGTGGTGAACGGCAGGAGTATTCCCCCGTTTAATGTGTCGTTATACGTATGAGAATCGGTCAGAAGTAAACCGTAATCGCCCACAGTTGTAGGTCCTAGTACACTTGGTATCCATCTGGAGTAAGTGATACTTTGTATTAGAGCGCCGATGATCTGTCTCGTCATGTAGTAGATGTCGTCTTCCTCCAAAGAGGAATCTTCAGCAAGCATTCTATCCGCTAAGATGTTATGGTAGCGGACAAAAGCCGTATGCATGGTACTAAGGAGCGGGTTCTCATTCACTCTGACATCTCCTACAAAGGGCAGTGTTGCTGTAGTGGTCAACCGTTTGATTACCGTTTTACATACATACATGTAAGTTATAAAAATATAAACACATCATTAAGGTACTTGAAAATACTGTTGATATTGGTCAGATTCGATTTTAAAACAGACGTACTCGACTCTGATTTATATCTTCACGGAGATTCCTGATACCGTTTACTCCATAAAATATAGCTCAAACTTGTGACAATTTTGTTTATCTTTTAGATATGTAGACATAACTAATCGTCTTAAGATTGCAGCAAGGGTTTAAAACATAAGCAACGTTAACTCTATTAGCTTTTTGTTTAGCACTGGACACTGACAATAAAGCACAGTTCTAAAAAAACCATACAATGTGTTCCCATGCGTTTCTGTTTAATGGTTTGCAGCCACTGCCATTTTTCAGACATTAACTGATTGCATATATGCATGTCCTAGGACAGTAATCAGTAAACTAATGAACGATTCCATACACACCATATTATTCATGATATTTTCTGATAGGGTTCATCTGGAAAAAGAAATAAATAGATAAAAAGTATGGACACTGCTTTACTAACAACCATTTTATCATCGTGTACACTTGAACCATCAGTACAATATTGGGATATTATTATATCTTACCAGCCAAAAAACAGTGGGCATTGGCTGAATCCCGAACGCATGCGCTGTCGTCGTTCATTGGCAGCAGGTTATCATCGTCAACTTTCAGCTTTCCTGAAACACAAGCAATATGAAATACAAAATCACCCATAACCTATACATGTTTTTATATTGACGGACTGTTCAAGGAAGAAAACCATTTCATTGTCTTTTCTGTATTTATCGTAAGTAAAGGTATAGGAGGTATGTTGTCTAAATAACCATTCAAAGCATTAAGCATTATCATGAGGTCCATGCTTCTCCAAAGACTGAGGCTTCCTATACTTGTTTACTGCTGATCGAACTGACTTTCACAGTATAAATGTACTGGGCATTCCGGTTGTTAATAATCAGAGGGAAAAAGTGAGCTTTGTCCTGGTCAGTTTGTATGGATGTCCTCTAATATTTCCGCTCTCAAAGATATGCACAGTGTTCTAAGAAGGTACAAAGGTTGAAGCTGACTGGGACAGGAGGTATATTATTTAGTCACTCTTTAATCGAAGTGTTAGACTTTTGTTTTTATAAAGGATTTATGGCTGTTTCCAGACATTGTCTAATTATCCCTTTGTCTTGTAGAGGATGACATATATGTCTTTGTTCAGAAAATGGCAGGTTCTCTTGGCTTTCGCAACTCTCTGGTTAGTTTAAACATATTTTATTGCCAAGCAAATGGATTGGGCACAAGCTATCAAACTTATATTAAGCCCTTTCCCAGCACATTACAAGCATATATTTACAATAGTACAACAAGATGGCAGAATTTATATACATGTATACACTATTTCATTTTTAAATGCTTTAATCTATAAATTGAAATTAGAAAAGGGGCGGGGGATAATAGTCTGTAATTATAATACATACATCCTCATCATTATTAATGTATGACATATAGTATCTGCCTCTTACAGAGAGTGGATATTATGGTTCAATTGTGAGAGAGGGAGAGAGAGGACGGGGGGGGGGGTACTAGAATCTGTTAGAGTCACGAATGTATTGCTGAGTATGCATGAATATCGTTATGTTTTCCTGTTCCGAAAGAGATGTTTCTCCAAATAAAAGTAGATTTAAATTAAGAGGCATGTATTCATTCAGTTCACGATAAAGCTTAATTCTTTGTTCGTTATATTTATCACAATTAAAAAAGAAATGGTGTGTGTCTTCAATAGGGAAGCCACATATACAACGTTGGTAATCAATAAGGTTAACACGAAACAGGTCACTTTTCAAAGTACTGAACTGTTTCTTAATTTTGTATGCAAAATATTATTTTTCCTATCACCATAAAATTCTGGAAATGTATCTCTGGTGTATTTCTGGTTTATACTAAAATATAGAAAACTGAAAACAGGTGATTAATATTTCAAGACACTTACCCTCTGTGACATTTTCAGTGTGGATAGTTGTGTTATCTTCCGTTCTTATGTAAGAACGTTCCTAGCTTTATGGACCAGATTGGAGACAGTTGTCAGTAGAGACGGGTAGTAACTAGTAACCACTGCGTAAGACCACAGAGATCCCCCTCTATACACCCAATATGTCATTAGAGACAGGTAGTAACTAGTTATCATTGCGTAAGACCACAGAGATCACCCTCTATACACCCAGTATGTCATTAGAGACAGATAGTAACCGTGGCGTAACTCAGTTTATCATAGATTCTGTTTGTCACGATAAGAACAGCTCGAATCAGTTTTAGAAAAGTCCCCACTTTCGATATATCGTGATTGAGTGCCAACATAAGGACAGGGCCTAGTTATGCAAAGAATTTTTCCGTTAACGACAGCTTATCATAAAACCTTGTGTGTTAAAAAAAGTATTTGAACCTCCGCTGACATGAAAAGCTGATTCCCCTCTGAGACTTTAGCCGGAACTTCCGCCAACACGCTATGAATAGCTGATTCCCCTCTGACTTTAGCCGGAACCTCCGCCAACACGCTATGAATAGCTGATTCCCCTCTGACTTCAGCCGGAACTTCCGCCAACACGCTATGAATAGCTGATTCCCCTCTGACTTCAGCCGGAACTTCCGCCAACAGGCTATGAATAGCTGATTCCCCTCTGAGTCTTTAGCCGGAACTTCCACCAACACGCTATGAATAGCTGATGCCCCTCTGAGACATTGGCCAGTTTGTCATTGTTAGTGAAGGCAAATAATCTTGTATGCGATTCTCTAAGTCTGCCTGCCTTCGGATTTTAGTTCTTGGAACAGTTGGAAGGGCACCTTCCTGTGCCAGTCAATATAATAAGAAGAAACAAGAAGTTTGGAGTTTAGAGTCAGGATGCAGGATACCTTGTGCCTCTTGATTGCTTCATCCTCTGTTATGTGAATGTTAGTGACTACACACCTTATATGGTAAAGTGATAGGCCGAACGAGGTCACTTTTCATATTCCGATAATGTGTTATCAAACAACGCACTGTAATCAGATTTCAATAAGCATTTGACACCAACCTTACATTTGTACTTAGAGGTGGAATCACGACTTTCGACCGAGGTTACAATACTTCTAGTTCAAATAAGTTTATGTGATATGTGAACGGGACAACAATGTACCAGACATTTCCCCTAAAATGTATATCAGTCCTAGATAATTACAAGCATGTATGAAGCCACAATTACATATTTTTTCATAACGTTGTTTTGGCAATTTGAGCGAAGGGCACTTACCATCCGGAGACCGTAGTGAGTCGGCTACATCATGTTCCGATCCATACACCATGGAGCCGTCCAAGTACGAGGTGATGGCATTAATCTGTTCCCGTATACCTAAATAAAATCAAAACGAACAAAAATATATAATTTGCATACGAGCAGCAATCAACTTTATGAATATGAACGGAAGAAATACCTTTCTCCTACCCTGAATATTCCCTATTATAGGAGCAGGACCGAAATGTCAACCCTTGGGGTAGATTCTTAATCCTTGATCCTTGGCAAAACGTTTTCGGGATAGACATTTAAGAATCTTACCCCTTGGGTTAACATTTTCTGTCTTACCTCCAAGTTTGAGGACAGAGTATATTATTTCCCCCATAAGCCAGAGATATCAACATTTCTGGTCAGGGAAAGACTTTTCTGTCTTACAAAGGGAGATAGATAAGGGGATTTCACAGTAACAACATTTTATTGACGTCACACCAACAATGCATTGACGTCACACCAACAGCAGAGCAATAGTCTATATACACAGCAAATGTGTAACATTGTCTAAAATATGTACGATAATATATATATATACTTACACTTTGTAAGATCGTGTGTATGTAATATTAAGGTGTAGGATTATCTATATACACTAGCACGCTAACACCGTGTAAGGTTGAGTTTATACGCTAACACCGTGTAAGCTTGACTGTATACGCTTACACCGTGTAAGGTTGACTGTATAACCTAACACCGTGTAAGGTTGACTGTGTACGCTAACACCGTGTAAGGTTGACTTTATACGCTAACACCGTGTAAGGTTGACTGTATACGCTTACACCGTGTAAGGTTGACTTTATACGCTTAACACCGTGTAAGGTTGACTTTATACGCTAACACCGTGTAAGGTTGACTGTATGCAATAGCACTCTATAATATTGCCTATTTACTATACACTTTTTAAGATCGACTGTATATACCGACAATGTGTAAGATCGTCTGTATATACCAACAATATGTAAGATCGTCTGTATATACCAACAATGTGTATGATCGTCTGTATATACCAACAATGTGTAAGATCGTCTGTATATACCAACAATGTTTAAGATCGTCTGTATATACCAGCAATGTGTAAGATCGTTTGTATATACCAACAATATGTAAGATCGTCTGTATATACCAACAATGTGTATGATCGTCTGTATATACCAACATTATGTATGATCGTCTGTAAATACCAACAATGTGTATGATCGTCTGTATATACCAACAAGGTGTATGATCGTCTGTATATACCAACAAGGTGGTAGATCGTCTGTTTATATCAACAATGTGTAAGATCGTCTGTATATACCAATAATGTGTATGATCGTCTGTATATACCAACAAGGTGGTAGATCGTCTGTTTATATCAACAATGTGTAAGATCGTCTGTATATACCAACAAGGTGTAAGATCGTCTGTATATATCAACAAGGTGTTAGATCGTCTGTAAATCCCAACAATGTGTAAGATCGTCTGTATATACCAATAATGTGTATGATCGTCTGTATATACCAACAATGCGTAAGATCGTCTGTATATACCAACAATGTGTTTGATTGTCTGTATATACCAACAAGGTGTTAGATCGTCTGTTTATATCAACAATGTATAAGATCGTCTGTATATACCAACAATATGTATGATCGTCTGTATATACCAACATTGTGTATGATCTTCTGTATATACCAACATTGTGTATGATCGTCTGTATATACCAACATTGTGTATGATCTTCTGTATATACCAACATTGTGTATGATCGTCTGAATATACCAACAATGTGTAAGATCGTCTGTATATACCAGCAATGTGTATGATCCTCTGTATATACCAACAAGGTGTTAGATCGTCTGTTTATACCAACAATGTGTAAGATCGTCTGTATATACCAACAATATGTATGATCGTCTGTATATACCAACATTGTGTATGATCGTCTGAATATACCAACAATGTGTAAGATCGTCTGTATATACCAGCAATGTGTAAGATCGATTGTATATACCAACAATATGTAAGATCGTCTGTATATACCAACAATGTGTAAGATCGTCAGTATATACCAACATTGTGTTATATTTTCTATGTACACGTACATGCGTTATACATTAGAATTATACCTGGTATGCAGGGATGTGTACGAGCGGCAGTTGATCTCACGAAGTTCATACAGTCATGAGTGTAGACAGGATCAGTGGCCGTGTCGATGAGTATGGGAAAACATTGATTTCTGACAAACAGCAAAGACATCATTATTAACGAGGAAGCATATTCATAAACTATCACAGTCCGGTTTAACAGTTCTTTGTTTTCATTGATTAATACTTTAGTCCGTATTATTACTTTCCAGTATTGAGTCTACATAAAGCAACACTTGTTCCTTTTTTTTTAACACAACATTAGACCGGACTTACCTCCCTTTTCTGATGAACGAGTCTATAATATTACAACACTGGACAGTCACACTCTGGTACCCTGTGAGAAGGTGAGGATGTACGAATTAGAGAATGACGTTTACATTTAACACCAACGTTTACGTACAATAAGATATTGATGTTTATATCGATTTGGCACGTCTACCCACAATTAGATATTGATGATTTTATTGATTTGACACGTTTACGTTCAATCAGAGATTAATGTTTATATTGATTTGGCACGTTTACGTTCAATTAGAGATTGATGTTTACATTGATTTGGCACGTTTACTTACAATTAGAGATTGATGTTTATATTGATTTGGCACGTTTATGTACAATTAGAGATTGATGTTTATATTTATTTGGCACGTTTACGAACAATTAGAGATTTATTTGTTTATTGTTTTGGCACACGTTTACGTACAACTAGAGATTGATGTTTTTATTGATTTTGCACATTACGTACAATAAAATATTAATATTTTAATTGATTTGGTACGTTTACTTACAATAAGAGATTGATGATTATATTGATTTGGCACATTCACGTACAATTAGAGATTGATGTTTTTTAATTGATTTGGCACGTTTACGTACAATAAGATATTGAGATTCATATTGAAAAACACGTTTACGAACAATTAGAGATTTATGTTTAAAACTGAAAAAATAATAGTACGCACCTTTAGAGACTGGCGTTTCACCTACATCGTGGTCAATAAACTGACCCCATACCATCATCATCAAACTCCGAATGGGGTCGTCTGGTGTGTCGACATTAGAAGGATCAAAGAACACAGCCGTTGACAGAGATCGCGCACTTGGCAGATTATTGCCATTAACATCTTTTGTACGCGGGGCGTTAACTCCTGAAATTCAAATAAATATAATGCATAACGTCAGTTTAAATTGGTATCATGTTCGTGAAATACACGTCTCCATGACTTTCCTAACCGTCTGTCTTTAATTGTCCGAACAAGTCTTTTGCGTATACAACTTGTCTGTCCGTTTGAACTGGTTTGATGTGTGTATAACTTGTCTGTCCGTCTGTCTGTTGTGGTATAATGTGTACATAACTTGACTGTTCGAGTGTTGTGGTATCATTTGTACACAACTTGTCTGTTTGTCTGGTGTGGTAAAATTTGTACAAACTTTGTGTTCACAATGTGTCTGTCCCTCTTTACTGTTTCAATGAGTACATAACTTATCTGTCCGTCTGTTCTGATTAAAGGCAAACACAACTTGTCTTTCCGTCTGCTGTGGTACAGGAGGCACGGGAGTCTAGTGGTAGGACACCGGGCTCGTGATCGAAGGGTTGCGGGTTCGAGTCACGTCACGGCACTTTGTTGTATCTTTAAACAAGATACTTTAATCCGCTTGTTCCAGTCTACTCAGCTACCCGGTTGGGCAGTGCTAGAATTGTTGGATGCTAGCTGTGAGCGCCGAAATGGCAGCACCGGTTGTATGCTCCCCAGCGAGTTGAAAAAGGTATTGACTGGTTGCAAAGGCCCACGGATAATAATTTGTGAACCGCTTTGAGACGACCTACGAACTAGGTTGTGATAAAGCGGTATATAAGAACCTCGAGTTATCATCGTTATTATTATTACATTAAAATTTGTACAAAAAACTTATCTGTCTGTCTGTCTGTCTTGGTATAATGTGTACATAAGTTGGCTGTGTGTTTTGGTATCATGTTTCCCTAAGTTGTCTGTGTGTTGTGGTCTAATGTGTACATAAGTTGTATGTCTGTTGTGTTATAATGTGTACATAAGTTGGCTGTGTGTTTTGGTATCATGTTTCCCTAAGTTGTCTGTGTGTTGTGGTATAATGTGTACATAGGTTGTCTGTGTGTTGTGGTATAATGTGTTCATAAGTTGCCTTTCTGTTTTGGTATAAAGTGTACCTAAGTTGTCTGTCTGTTGTTGTATAATGTGTACATAAGTAGTCTGTCTGTTGTGGTATAAAGTGTACATAAGTTGTCTGTCTGTCGTGGTATAATGTGTACATAAGTCGTCGGTGTGTTGTGGTATAATGTGGACATAAGTTGTCTGTGTGTTTTGGTATAAAGTGTACCTAAGTTGTCTGTGTTTTGTGGTATAATGTGTACATAAGTTGTCTATCTGTTGTGGTATAATGTGGACATAAGTTGTCTGTGTGTTTTGGTATCATGTGTACCTAAGTTGTCTGTCTGTTGTGGTATAATGTGTACATAAGTTGTCTGTGTGTTTTGGTATCATGTGTACCTAAGTTGTCTGTGTGTTGTGGTATAATGTGTACATAAGTTGTCTTTGTGTTGTGGTATAATGTGTACCTAAGTTGTCTGTCTGTTGTGGTATAATGTGTACATAAGTTGTCTGTCTGTTGTGGTATAATGTGTACATAAGTTGTCTGTCTGTTGTGGTATAATGTGTACCTTACTTGTCTGTCTGTCTGTCTGTCTGTCTGCTGGGATGCAATACTTATATAATTTGACTTCCTGTCGGTACTACATAGCGTCAAAGGACAATTCCTCCCGCGAAATGGGATTAGAGATGTAGAAAAACGGACTCTAAACGTTGAAGATAGGTTAGCTACATAAGTAAGGGACTGTTCATGAAAACTTACCATCATCGTAGGCCGCCGGTAATAGTCGGATCTGTGAGGTGCCGGCAGCCCCCCAGTGGGGATGTTTCTCGTTATTACATTCACCATTGATGGTTCTGTAGTCGGAGGCATCGGAGCAGTCTACGGATGTCAACGATCCTTTAACACACTTGTCGCCAGAGAATACAGGCCATAGCCTCAGAGCTTCGTCGCTTGTTTGTAACGCTTTAAGGTTTTTAAATACTTTCCTTTAATGAAAAAAGAGATTACAGTGCAAAGTTACAGACTAGCAATGTCCCTTTGTTTTAAAGCGACCCTAAGACACTAAATACATTGATTGATTTCACCAGGCCCAAGACAGCCGTTTCGCAACAAATTGTCACGTTTAGTAAAGGTTAAATGGTGTTTTTAAATTTAATTTGTTATTTTAGTTTCTTTTAAGAAATGTTAGAAAAGCTTCCTAGCTGATTGACTATGTTACGAAATATACATCAGCATGAAACTAAGCAATGATCCAAATACATGTGTTGCCGAGTGCTAATCCCTTAATACAAAACGTGAAACTAAGTTGTGAATCCTAAACAAATTAACATGTAGCTATGCAATGATCCGAAATACATGTGTTGCCGAGTGCTGATTCCTTAATACAATAATGTGAAACCAAGCTGTGAATCCTAAACATATCAATGCCTGTACAGCTAACTAATGAACTAACATACATAAATGTAAAGCCGAACAGTCATTCCTCAGTAACAAATATTTGTAAAAGGAATTATTGAGAGACATATATGAAACTGAAATCAGAATCTCGTTAAATATCGAAAACAGTGTTTTACAGCATGTTTGTTTGACTTAGGCGCATAACTTCACGTAAGCCTGTCGCATTCATCTCAGACACGTTTATAACATTTCTAATGAAGGAACGATTTATATGTATATTCAAGGACAAAGGAATTATTAAATTATATCAAATCTATACTTATATAGATATATTTACATATTCACGCTCAGGTTTGTGGGATATTTTCCTTTCTTAGAGATGGCACTTTGATGTAATCGATTTACCTGTCTAATATGTGTTACTATGACGTAATAGTTTACCTGTCTAATATGTGTTACTATGACGTAATAGTTTACCTGTCTAATATGTGTTACTATGACGTAATAGTTTACCTATCTATGATATATTATAATGACGTAGTCGATTTACCTGTCTAAGATATGTTACTATGACGTAATAGTTTACCTGTCTAATATGTGTTACTATGACGTAATAGTTTACCTGTCTAATATGTGTTACTATGAATAAATAGTTAACCTATCTAAAATATTTAACTATGACGTAATCGATTTACCTGTCTAAGATATGTTACTATGACGTAATCGATTTAACTGTCTTATATGTGTTACAATGACGTAATAGTTTACCTATCTATGATATATTACAATGACGTAATCGATTTACCTGTCTTAGATATGTTACTATGACGTAATAGAATACCTGTATAAGATATGACTAAATAGTGTACCTATCTAAAATATTTAACTATGACGTAATCGATTTACCTGTCTAAGATATGTTACAATGACGTAATCGATTTACCTGTCTAAGATATGTAGCTATGACATAATCGATTTACCTGTCGAGGAGTAATTTGGTGGCCACCAGTGACTTAACCGCTTCTTCCTCTTCCTTCTCAATTTCCGTTTGATAAGTGTCCATGTTATTTAAGCCTGCCATTGTTTCCGGGGAAGTATCTCCTGCCGGAGCGTCCAAACCTGAAATTGGTCAAGACGACTTATTTTAATTGTTGATTTAGAAATACAAAATAAATTCCGATATCATCCGAAAGTGGCGTACTTGAGACGAAAGTCTAGTACGTTGACAAATATTCACTTAGACGACATTATAACAAGTATACCAAATTCCCCATCTCAGTGACATTTCCACTTAAGTTTAACACCCCTATATGTGCTGAGCATATTACAGTGAGAAGCTAATGACTGCATATTATATTTACCTTTTTCAAACGTCTTTGAGATTCGCCAAGATCCACTTGCAAACAAACTGGTCGTAAATCCTACATATTCAATAGGTCGCTCTCCCTTCTCTGACAAGGACATGAGTTCTTCCCATCCTTTGCCCGTCTGCCTGAACACTTGTATGTTGCCGCCCTTCCAGCTTATAAAAAACGCCCTGTACTCATTGCAATCTACTACATGATCCAGATCGCTTGTCACGTGGTCATTAGTGCCAGAGCGGATGACTGACTTGGTGTTAATGTCTGTGCCGATTATGATTTGGAGGGCAGTAGTAAGGTTCTTGTCATCGCTCCCGAAAAGTGCAATGTGTGCGTCATTGCATGTCATGACTTCGAACACTAGGAAGGGTCTCTGGACGATGGGAAATCCCTTGTCTTGCAGCATGGTATATACGACCGAGTTAAACTGTTTTGGTGTTTCGATAATTAAATCGTCACCTGAAAAACGTTATAGAAGCAACAGAGTACAATGTTAGGTAACAGCATTACAATGTATAGAAATCTACATAAATAATTAATTGCAACGTGTAGAAACCTCGAAACCTCAACAAGGTAAAAATTACAACACGTCAATCTCTTTTTAGACCCCACTGAATATTTAGGGTTCATTCACACACCTTGGTCATGCGGAGCTCAATTTCTCTTTTACTATAAATGGAGAAAAAACATATCGACCACAAATCAAGACGCATATGGCACTGCGAAACCACCAAAAACATGGTAAACGTCACCAGAAAGTACGCCATTTCATGACATTCTGTGATATTACACCTGAGCTGTTATAAAGAAGGCTAGACATGTCGTATACATTATAACATTACACTGTATGTAACATGTCTAGCCTTTCTTTATAACAACGCTAAAAATTACTGAAAACAAATGTTAAGTTGAATTATTCATCATGGTCACGGCCTTTGATTTAACATCTATATACCAATAATCGGAGCACTTTACGGTGGGGCTTGTGTTTTCTCCAAACCACTTATAACCATCTTGTTTTGAATTTGGTATGCATATCTCCAGCTTGTAAAAGATACACTACGCGTGATCCGAGTTTATAGATACAGTTTTAGATCATATGTCTTGTGCCTAATCCTCGGCTCAAATTTGGGCAATAAATGCGTTTAAATCAAATGATGCTGATGAATTATTTTCATTTAAGTATCAGCCTTAATGTCTCATTGCAGACTAGGACACACCGCTATGTACCACTTTATATACTAAAGTAAATACTTTATTGGGTTATTTGAATATGACTTATACAGAGGTTATGGTTTTTGGTGACATTGCGTTCAGAAACATAGTCTCACTAACTGGGACATGGGTATAGAATATATTGGACTGACAATATTCAGAGTTTCCTTCTTCGGGGAGAGTACTCCTGTACTGTTTCAGATTTAATCTTCCTCGGGAAGAGTACTCTATAATGTTTAAGGTTTGTACTACCTCGGGGAGAGTACTCTGTAATGTTTAAGGTTTGTACTACCTCGGGGAGAGTACTCTATAATGTTTAAGGTTTGTTCTACCTCGGGTAGAGTACTCTATAATGTTTAAGGTTTGTTCTACCTCGGTGAGTC